TTTCTTGGGACTTTTGTGGAGTTTGGCCTTTAAATGCCTATGATATACAGAAAACACTAAAGAGGATCTTTGAATACAATCATATTTTTAGGTACTTGCCACGACATTAAAATTAAGAAGCAAATATTTCGAAAGCTGTTTTAAGAAACCCTTGATATGAAACTCTGCAAACATGTAGACCACCCTCCCGCTGAAGAAAAAGCTGCTTCTGGATGGAATACTTAAAAGCAAATAAAATCTTTGTATACTGTACCTCAAAAGGCAAAGAATATGCTAAATTCCTCATCACTCATAGGCACAGCACATGAATCAAGATCTCTACTCTAACATCATAAAGAAGAAGCAAGAAACATTCCCAGTTCGGACATACATAATTCTTTGTGAAGCAAGCGGTTACGATGCTTAATGTCTTGGGGTTCCTTCTAAGAAGGCTCGTGGACGTGTTAGGTAAAGATTACAAAGCAAGGATGTCATGGAAAATCATAGTATTTTGTTAAGAATTTTACTTCTCATAACATGATGATGAAAAAATGTTATTGATCTTATGTAAATTATTAATTTCAATATATGTGTATAGCCATGTCTCGTACCCTACGTTTTACAAATTGGCCGTCCTGTATTCATACCCACATCCGCACCAGTACCTGTGCCCATGTTCATGCAACATAAATGCACAACAGCACAAGGTAGAGCCAAAAGGAAGAAATTATATAAAAGAACATTTATGCAGAAAATAGAGATCCTCACTCATCTTAGAGGCGAAGAACAAACACAGCCAGTACAAAAGTTTAACTAAATTATATGCCAATTGATTTACCAAACAGTATGGTATCGATCTGAAGAGTGAAAACCCATACCGAAGCGCCATGACGAAATCAAGGCCTAATGCAAGAAGTAAGATGGACATCCTACTACATGATGCTGCAGACCAAATAGAAGCTAATTCATGGTATTACAATTATAAAATGGAGGAAATATTTTTCAGTTAAGTAGACCCTACGTCATCCATTATCCCATTCTAATTCCTCTCCAGGAACAATCTTCAATAGACACAGATACCAAAACATACTTATGGCATCAATCACTCTATATTGTAGATGTACAGAATATGGTATCAGTTGCTACCTCCATAATTGCATGGACCACAGTTAGTTCTGATTCATGGGATGAGAACAGGAGAGTGGTATGCCACTTATTTGGAAATGGGGACAAAGGTGTGTATACTAATACAGTACACTCGGGACCCTGGTACGCTTGAAGTTTGGTTTTTAAATATAGAAATCTAATTTTGTTTGTTTCTTTCTTTCTTTCTTTTATTCCTTTGATTTCCTGTAGCTAAACAAACAGTACCGAAACTCTATTTCTAACATAATTGAGCTTTTAATCTTAATAACTCTGGGTTTGATCAAGCTATACATTCAAAACTCCGACCTAAATTTAACCCATTGATCTTTTCCTCTACTACCCCACCAGCTAACGCACCGTGAAACCAACACACATCGTTGATCACGCTCTGATGTACCATTAATTTGCTTTTGTTGCGCATACTTTTAATGACCCCACAATAAATCTCCTTAAGCAGGCGACAAATGTATAGTTTTTTTTATTTGTTCCCTAAATCTCCTCTTTGTTCTCTAGCCTTCTACAACTACTTGATACTGATAATTCTACAATGGTTAATAATCATTTTTTGGTCGCCTTTTGTTTTGCTGATGCTTCTTCTGCTTCATATTTTTATGGATTTAGAAAAGCTAAATACAAATATAAAGCACTTAAGCGTCACTTTTTTGGAAGCTAGGCAGTAGCTAACATTCTTTGCAACACTGATGAAACAATACTACTACCTCACGTCCAATAAAACTTAAAACATTTCCCAATAAATATACTACATTCCAAGCAAACTTTCCGGGTTCTTCTTGAACACCTTTTCTGAATGAATATCCAAGTTTCCTTTTCATATAGTTGTACTTCAATATAATTGATTCACCGAATTAGCAAATTTTAGTCCTGGCATATTTTTGTCCTAACACTCTTTTAAGGTTTACCATTGACTATTGATTTGAATCTTAACACTCTTTATTTAACATAATCTTACTTGACACATCCATGATAGCTGGTTAGACCAAGAAGCCCAACAGCCCATCTCAAAATTGTGCAGTTTTTTCCCAATACATTTTAATAGAGGACATATTGCCACTATATCAAAGTTAAGAGCAAAACTGAATGGCGATTAGGATAGGAAATTGACTCAGACAGCAGGAAACTTATTGGTATATGAAATACTAAATAGTACATCGGGCAATACTTCGCTTTGTGTGTTACCTCCCATTAGCATGACAAGACTAATGATACAACACTATGGCACACACTACGGTACATACAATTGTACAAGCTAAAATCATAAAAAATGGCACTATCTGGTATCCAGTGAAGTATACTGGTTAAAGTCCAGTACAAATCTACAATTGTCTTGTACAGTTGTAGTGTAGGGGTTAAAGCCTCGTAGAATATATTATTCTGTTTTGTACTGTAATTGAAAATTAATTACATATTTAGTAAGAAAAAACTTGGTTTTGGACCATTGGTCGTAAGATATTCACATGTACTACTATAGCAGTAAATGTCATCAAAGATTTTAAACATACATCCTTAGTACTAAAATTAACTTCAAAACTATATCCTATTTTATAAATACAAGTTTAGTATAGTACTGGAGCGAATTCGGCGATCCCGTGTGGGCAAAAATGGGTTAGTCTGAAACAAGCATGAAGGTAGGCATGAATGATCTGGCCCCTTCAGCATGTGGGTCAGTCTGCACTGTAGACAGTGCATGGGTATAGAGTACTAGACACACAGCAGTAGGATTGTACCTGGGTCTAGATAAAAAGGTGTGGACAGTGCTTGATCATATAGTAAGCATGCACTACACAGCCCACTTCCAATCCTAACAGATATTCTTTTAAAAAAATCTTGATGGAATTAAACATATTTGGAAATAGATTACTACTGGATGCATAAGAAAAAAAGAATATATATCTATATACATACTGTTGATGGTGGTTGAGAGTTGTGCACAATAATCTGCAGCATGAAGCATATAATTCAACAGAGAACTTGCGGTCTACAATATCGCAACACGTATCCCTTGAGGACTCTATTTTCCGGTTATCAAAAAATGTGGTTGCATCAGATGAAGGAAAAGAATATTTCAGCTGCTGGAAACCAGTAAAAAGTGCCAATGGTATATGCAAACATTGGCTCACATGCCATGCCTCCAGATGAATGGACTTATTACCAGCTATGCTTGCAAGAATCTGAACACACATGAGAATGACTGAGCCCGCATCTGGTTTGATATCAGCTTTATAGTTTAGCTGCTTATCTACATAAAATATTGTTGGATTCTGTAAGTGAAGTATTATGTTGAATACAGCATTAATGAAGCTAAAGGTTTTTCCAACCACAAGCTCATGTCCTGCATGGAGAACTTCAATAGTCAGAAAACGACACAATTATAGAACAATACAGTAAGCAATCAAAATTCTCATGATAATGCACATACTTGCAACTACAAACATACATAGCACATGCAAATACCCAAGCATACCCACATTCATAAACATGCTATTTTTTCCTACAATGCTTTTTGTCATGGCCTAAGTACAAATTGTGGGTTCTCCTTTACGAGTGATGGATCTCCATCAGTTAAATTAAATCTTACCGTTAACAATCTATTTCTCCAAATCTATCCTAAAGCAAACAATTTGGTTCTTTGTATTAGAGCACATACACAAGGAAGTGACAAGTGTTGCATTTAATACTGCAAATGCAGTCTACTTCAAATGATTGATAACAGGAATTTGGTACCAAAATTATTATTTTGTGACTTGGAAATCAGCTCACAAAATTAAAAAGGAGACTACATAAGCATATAAAGAAGAGGAAATGGATTTACTGGATTAAATAGATAAGCTATACACTAGGAAATACCTGATAAAGATTCAAGAACCAACTCCAAGCAGTTTAAACCAGCCGCTACAGTTGAGGAGACTTCTCCACCATCCAGATTGCCAGTGGTTAAATCATGAACTGTATTGCAGTCAGGTTGTGCCCCAACAAGTGCTCTCTCCAATAACTGAAGAGCTATCATCAGATCGAATTTTTTTGGCAGGATAAATTTTTTGAATGAAATACTTAGCCTAACTTTAAATGCATTTAATCGCAATTTGATTTGATCTAGCAGCTGCAAGTCATTTCTGTTTAATTCATTATGAGATTGCAGCATCTTTGAACTTGATCCAGACTCGTGAGAATATAAAGTTGCAGATTTTCCTTGGAGGGAAATACATTTCCCTATAGCTCTGAGATGTGTATCAATTATCTGAGAATAAAAATCTTCTGATAAATTAAGATCACCATTACTACTCCCTACAGCTTCCAGAAATGTCAAAATACCATCTAAACAAACAAATGAGACCGGCTCCATTCTGCCAACCATCTCTGCCATTTCCTTCAGAATCAGTACGGAAGTTTCAAGAACAAGAATAGGATTTACAGCCACTTTGCTATAAGAAACTTTTGATCCCAGAGACCTAGGAAACCGTAACATACCTTTTAGCTTCAGAATTGCAGCAGATGCAGTAAAGAGTTTACCAAGCGTGTATGCTATTTGAGGATCTTCACCTTTCAATAGGCTTTCTAACAAAGGTCCTTTTAGGTTCTTCAGCTTTGACAAATTTGTTTCCTGAACTTGATTAACAAGGTTAGCTTTACCAGCTGTATCAAGGGGTAACACGTCTTTTTCCTTGCAAAATGGACTTTCACTAAATGCACATTCTGAAGGACTATTTCCGTTGTTATCATGATAACCTGTAGAGCAGATCACTACCATAGCTTGAGAGCTTGTCAAGAGGTTGAGGCACAGGTTTAATATTTCTTCAAATAGAGTTATGCACTCGCAGAGTATAGGGAGACATGCAGGTATCAACCGAGAATATTGTGGATTTACAGTAGGCACGTCCTGATTTATACTATCGATTGCTGATACTAGCCCCCATAAGAACCCCTGGAAACATGAAATGATAACTGCTAACCTACTGCAACCCAGAACTCTGACACGGTCTTCAGGTTTGATCTCCTGCAGACTGCCCATGGAAGTAAATAGGTTTCTCACCTGGTCCTTCAATATCTCAGCCATAATGTCCACTGAATGTTCCCTAAATAACTTTTTTTCATTTATTTTAAAGTCCTTTATAGCACTCATTTGTTTTTCACTTATTGCCAAAAAAATGTAAGATGTATGATCTATCAAGGGAAAAATCACATCTTGTAACCAGCTAGAATATGTTACTCCAAACAAGGCATGTGGCAATCCAACTATTTCAGAAACCGACTCCAAAAGCCACAAAATAGAATCTGAAGAACCAAACACAGAAGAAATAGATGCAGAATCTGTGGGTCCACAATTATCATCAAGAGATGATGATACCAGAGACTTCATGACCCTTCTACAAGATATAAACAGTCTTACAAGCTCATAGGGTTCACATAAAGAAGAGTTGGTGCCGTTTTTCAGTAAACAAGATACTGCTAACCTGGAAAACACAGAAACTAAGCTCTCGGTGACCAGATCATTTGAATATCATACAGAAGATCTTTAAAGTTAAGTTGCTCAAAGAAAAAATTTCAACTTAATGAGTAAACAAACAAGCAAAACTTTCATAGGTTTTACACAAATGAAAACCCGTTAAGATGTCCCCATTACAGAAGCTGAGAACTGAACTCGAGACCACTTGCAGGAGTCATGTTTAAGCTGCCAAAGAACCAGCATTAAGGCAATTTAGTGATAAACATTGTTAGTCCTCAACTGAAGAGCTAAAGATTTTTTAGTAAAGTGGTTTTCTAATAAAAGCCATGATCTGCTACACGTTTAACACCTAGAATTAAAAAAAATGTTTTCATGTTTGGCTAATGAATCAAGTGGTCTCATAATGGTCATGAAGAACACATACAGAACTGGTTACTAACTGCAGCAAAAATAATTGGGTTTCTCATGGATCATATAGGCGTTAAAATTCACATCTAATGGTGAAGATTTGCAATTCCGAAAATTCATCTTGCGATTTGTAGAAGAAGAATGTGTACAATCACTATAGCTGTATGTGTGGTCAGACAGACAAACCAGTTATTCATGTACATATAAAAATATACAGGCAGATACCCATGCACATGCACATACACATAAATTACAAAAACATGTGGTTAGAAATAAACATACGACAAGTTTACAAACACGGCTAAGAGAGAAAACTAACAAATAATAAGACAAGTTCATAAACACGGCTAAGAGAGAAAACTAACAAAATAATAAAGCAAATAATGATCATGAAGGATGCATACAGAACTGGTTACTAACTGCAGAAAAAATTCTTGGCTTTCTCATGAATCATATAGGCGTTATTGATGTGAAGATTTGCAATTCTGAGAAAATCATCTTGTGATTTGTAAAAGAAGAATGGGCACATAATCACTATAGCTATATGTGTGGTCAGACAGATAAACAACCAGTTATTCATGTACATATCAAAATACACAGGCAGATACCCATGCACAAGCACATAAATTACAAAAACATGTGGTTAGAAATAAACATATGACAAGGTTTTATAAACATGGCTAAGAGAGAAAACTAACAAATAATAAAAAAAATCCCCCNATCATTCTGTACGAAAACCCCTCAAAAGCAGCATAAACGTAACCAATGTTGTAAGCGTCAATTCCCTGATGTCATGGAGACAAGTAGCTAGTGCAAGACAAATAGGTTTCCCTGATGAGCGAAAAAATAGTATCCAATTTAGTTATGCAAACATCAATAACAACTCACATTTACATGTATAGTAAGATTTTCGCAAATATATCAGATGGACAAGATCGAAAATATATTAGCATTCTCCTTTCAACATGCACAACTCAGATTTCAGCGTCATAATAATGGAATGGAAAATTTGTTGCTACTGAGGTCAACTAGCATTTCTATAGAAGTGAGAACTGTAAACTGCAAATTTCAGTAAACTACATAGACACTGAGCTAAACTAGAAGCCTCATCTCAATAAGATAACATTAACAACAAAACAACGGTTTCAGGTAACCACACTTTTAATAAACTGGAAAGCTTCCATTTGCCCTTGATTATACCGAAGAGAAAAACATCAGGAGTAGGAATACTTATATCTTTCCATCTCATCCTTACCTGAAAGGATCAACTAGCTTCCAAATTTGATCTTTCTTAGTGAATACTTCACCTTTGATTGCACCACAAAAAATGATCAATTTACAATTTAGCAATTACAACCGCATTGTCAATGATGTAACTTTCAGTTTTCAATAGACTCCCTTGATTTTTCTCTATTTTTCATACTTGAAATATTTAATCTTAACAAAAGAAAATGAACGAAACAAAACTCTTTTTCCCTTATATTTTTTTCTCTTAATTGAAATATTTAATCTTACCAAAAGAAAATGAACGAAACAAAACTCTTTTTCCCTTATATTTTTTTTTTTCTCTTAAGCTTCATAGTATTACATGATTTCATAGGTCAACATATTATCCAGGCCTACTAAGCAAGGAATCAAGAAACAAATCTATTCTTCAAGACTTCAAAAGCAGCTATACTTGGAAGAACACTAGACTTCACCAGGCATCTAACTCATGTATGTAGAATCCTCATAGGAGTGCTGTAAAAGATCCTACTGAATTTAAGATGTAGATTCTCGGTACTCATTGACTAAGGTCAGGAGTAAGTTTTCAGAATCCAGATTCTAAAATAGAATACTTGCATCAAATCTCAATCTCAAGACCTATATAGTGTCCTGGAAACTTATGTGCATCAACAGCATAAACTCAATCATGGTGAACCCCAAAAGCTCCTCCATATATTTTTATTTTATACGTTAGGGGAAAAGTTTTATCACGAAGACGTACCCGTACCCAACACATACCTGACACGTACCCATGCCCAAACTTCATGGACACTCCTTGAATATATGCATACATTTATTTAGACATGTGCTCAATTATATGATATATGTTTTAATTTAAAACACTCATCATACACTTCTTGGAAGTATATCCTATACTTCATGTCCATTTCTTGAAACTCGTTAGACATGGGCCGGGTTTGTTTGAGCCCATATCCAGGTTCAAAACTATGATTTAAAGGGTGTTTTGAGTGTCTAGTTAAAAAAAAAAGCACTTTCCAATTTATAATAATCAACATAATAAAGAAACTTATAAATTTGATAGGAATTTAAATTCAAATAGCACATGGATTGAAAAATATGATCTCATGCAAATTATTAATTTCCATGTAACTTAGATTATGTTACAAGGAACATGTTGCATGGAGCATATCAAAGAATATAAAGTACGTCCTTACCCACCCTTTCCCTAAATGTACTTTGTGCAATTAATGGAGATGGCTTTTGTGCAATTAATGGAGATGGCTTTCCCTCCTTGTCAAAATCACTTGCCTTATCAACTCTCTAAGTTCCTCTGAATGAAACACATAAGCATATTGTGCATGCAATAATAACTCCTTAAGCATCTCCATTTCCTCATGTATTAATAGATCAAAGTCAGTCTCTATAGTAGAGGCAGTTAACACCAACCAAAGTTGCCACAGAGACCCAACTTAGTCATGAAGCAATGACTGAGTTGTTGGAGGTCCCAAATTCAAGATAAAGCTATGACCTTTGTTGAAAAACTAAAATCACCAGCAATATTTGTAAGCGTGAAGAGGTATTTCATAGCCTCGCGTGAAGTAATATATGTGTGTAATCTGGTAATGAGAAGTCAAGTAACTCCAAAAATTTCGCTAATATCCAGTTCCAAAAGATGATCAATAAACTATTGCACAAGAGCCAGATGAAAATGTTTGAACAACTGAAATCTTAAGAGGGCATTTGGGATAGCATATTTTTTTGTTAAAGTAGCTTTTAATCTACGCTTATGTCTATCTACATGTTTGGTGACATCTCAAATAAGCTAGCTTTTAAGCCACATTTAAAAAGTTAGGGTCCTCCTACTTTTAAAAAACTAGCTTATAAACTCATCCAAATAAGCTATGTTTGACCAAGCAAACGACTTTTCATACAAGTTTTATAAAGTTTTTATCATAAAAGCTAAAAGCCAGCATAGCTTATAAGCACAAAAAAATAAGCCTAGTTAAACACCGTTTAAGTATTGACTTTTTAATGAGTCACCCACATGAGTACAAACGTAATCCCTCCTTTTATATAATGAGAAACTGGTGAGCCCTTCCTAATGGTAAAATAATAACACGTGTCAAATCTAAGCATTACATGTAGACACCTAATTCTATCTATACCTAATTCTCATCAAATTCAAATTACATATAACTAGAAAATTCTAATAATCAAATAAAACTATCCATAACTAGAAAATTCTAATACCTAAACAAGCCTAAGAATTCTCATCAAATTAAAATTGCCTATAACTAGAAAGTTATAACAATCAAATATTTGGTAATTCTAATTAAATAATAACTATCCCTAGCTAAAAAAAGTTTTATCCTTAATAAGTTCAAGGGAAAAAAGTTATCATAGAAAATTAAAAAACACCTTAAAAAATCCGAAAATTACAAACAATCCCTTGAAAAAAAATCTAAAATTATAAAACAAACCCCTAAGGAACTAAAAGCTGCAAGCTGGCCAAAAATTTTGAAACATACGAAAAAAACCCTTAAAAGTCTGAAAATCCATAATACAAACTAACCTATAAAAAATATAAACAATATAAACAACCATGTAAACATCCAAAAAATACAAATAGCCCCTTGAAAGTATGGAATTGCAAATGATGCCTGAAAAATCTGAAAATTGTACTCAGACCCTTAAAATTAAAAAATTACAAACCACCCCCTAAAAATTTAAAACTACAAACAACTCCTTGAAAAAATCCAAAAAATACAAACAACCCCCTTTAAACTCCAAAGATTAAAAACAACCTCCTAAAATCCAAAACTACAAACAAACCCCTAAAAATTGAAAGTTACTAGCAAACATTATGAGGTGTTTTGTCAAAAGTTATTGGGGGTTAAGTAACAAACCCTGAAGCTTACTAGGGGCTTTTGCCAAAATTTATTTGGGCTATTGTGGTTAATTGACCATACATGGACTAACGATGTTAAGTTTGAGGATTTTCTATCAATAATTATTAGAGGTTAGTGAGAGTTTCAAGATATTAGGGATATAGTGCTAAACACCGAAACTTATTAGGGGTTTTGTGATTTTTTCCCATATTTCAATGTTTATAGAGAGGGTATATTGGTGGTTTGAGTTTCAAACTTTGAAGTAAAACTCATTCACGCCTTTATTTTGTATTTCCTTTATCATACTCCATTTAAAAGTGAGAGTTCTTAAAAAACTTTCATTTATTAATTTTACCCCTAATCCTTTTCAATATTAACATTTTTATCCTAATTATACTTGGTTATCAACTAAAGCCATTAAATTAAAATTAAATTCCTAAATTAAAGCTCTCTCCATTCAAAACTAATTAATAAAAAAATATCTAATTATAATTGGTTGACAATTAAAGAGTATAAAGAAGCTTAAACTCCTGAATTAAAACTCCATTCAAAACCAATTAATAAAAAAATGATCTAATTAGAATTGGTAAATAACTAAAGAGTAGAAAGAAGCTTAGAGCACATTAGCATTGTAAACATAATATGCATTGCACGCGTAAATATTAACCAATTGATTGATACCAAATTATGGAATTAATTAACTATTAACAAAAATTAATTGATTAAAGTATTTTTTTATAGTAGTCCCTTAAACCTTTCATATTTTGAGATTAGTCCGTCAAAGCATTGAAATTATTATTTGGTAACATATTTCTTAAGTTATTTGAAATTAGTCATTCAAATTAATGGTATAATTAGTAATTTGAGGGACTAATTTCCCTCTAATTGCTTTTTTTACTCTTGATTGGAGAAGTTGATATCAAAATAACTTAAGTATTGTGGATGTAATAGCTATTTCAATGATTTGATGAATTAATTTTAAAATAATAAGAATTGAGCAAGCTAATAGTTCGATGTGGTTATCTTTGCAAACTTATGGAGAGGTTTTCTTGAATGATGATAGGTTTTCTTATTCTACAGTCATTAGAGATTAAGACAGAAGATTGTTTTCCCTTTTTTTTTACTTCATAAGAATTTTATGTCATCTGTTATTATTAGATTTGAAACATTGAAGAAATTGATTGCTAGATGAGCGAATAATTTTTTCGAGTAATATGTAGCATACATTGCTCATGGTTTATAAGCGAATAATCTTTTCTAATAATTTGTAGCTTACATTGTTTATAGTCACAATGACACATAAAATGAAAGGTGAGGATACATAAATGTAAATGTTAACAAAGTTCACAGATAATATTACATCATCAAGTTGAGATTTCAAAGAAACGCTTTTACAACCAAGTTATACTAAAGAAATAAACTGAACAAATAACCACGTGCAATGCACGTGTATCTCTTCTAGTAAGAAAAAACCTCCAGCTCAAGTTATCTTATTTTGAATTTTAAATTCAAATAATCTCTTTCATCTCACGAGTTATGGTTTAGAACACTATGGCGAAATTTAAAGATTGATAGCATGTTCATTGTTATATTATAAGTCATTATTACAAGTTATTGTATGCAATTTATAATAAAAAACAGTGAACTATATAAAAATCAGAAAAAAAGAAGAAGCAATAGCCTGAAGAAAAAGGGTAGGTTTAAGATAGGATTTTGATAAGCTTAACATTATATTTAACAAAAAAAATATGGGTTGAAATGTTCTACAAAAGTAAGTATCACATTAGAATTTTTTTGGGGAAATTCACACGTTTCTATTGCATAGGAAACTTCAGAGCATTAAAGTGTAACTTTTAGAAACTTTAGGGTATATAAATGAAGGGTTTTACAACTAAGGGTATTTTTGTGCAATATCAGGCAAACAATAAGGTATTTATGTGTAATATACCGACCAGAAAAAAATCACTGCAATTGAATATAGAAGCATGACAATTAGCTAAAAATGAAACTCATAATCATATATACAAACTGAAGAAACCAAATTCACCCCAGCAAACACAGGCATAGCACTTGTATAAATGAAAGAAAAAACAACACAAAACTCACCTTTCAAGGTTCAGCGAGTACGCTGCATAGACTGAGAAAGATTTCGCATCTAGCTGGACTTTGGGAATCGTGGATAACAGCGTAAGCAAGCTTTCGCAAGTTCTGAGTGTCAACATGAAAGATGTTTCTCTGTCATTAAGGTCCATATTTTTTGCATCTTGGAGAACAAGGTTTGAATTTGGCAATAATGAAGAATGATGGAACGAAACAATCCCATCATCCAAACCAATCAATGGCTCTTTTTTCACTATACTCAGGAACTCTGACCAATCTGGTAGTGATCCCAAATCCATCTTATTTGCACAAACATGAGATAATGCAGGAACCAGCAATTCCTCCAGAACACGGCCAAAACCTGATGTAAAATGCTTGCACAAAGGCTAAGTGGAAAATAAGAGATATATCAATACAATGTGGCGCAGTTATATGATTGTTCATATGACACAATGTTGGCTAGAAATTCCATTGAAACATGATGCATTGTGACTTTCTGATAGGAGACTCCCTTTACACTCTGTATTCTGACTTCCCCAGAGCATTTTACATCTTGAATTGAGTAAAAGAACAAACAAGACAAGAATTTCTTTAAGTACTTCTTAGCTGCGTGAACACACCATATGTCGATATTTCGACAAAGAAGCCTCCAAATTGCAATATGCAATGACCTCCGATTCAAAGAACAAACACTCAAATCCCAGGCATCTTCATATGAAGCCTTAGTGTCATCCAGTTCATCATTTTTAACAGATATTAAGTGGCCCTTATGATCTAATAATTTTCCGCTTCGCAGTAAAAAATTTGCCATTTCTGTTGCCTCCTGCTTTGAGAGCAAGATGAGTCTTTTCCAGTTTTCATTTGATTCATTTACATCCTTTCTTTGCAAAAATTCAAAAGCCTGAATCAACCGATTCAAATCGTTGAGCCTCTGTAAAGCCATTATGTATATTACATAATGAAGGGATGGGCACCCTGTACTTGAAACAAAATCTTCTAAATGAAACTTGATAAGATCTAAAAGTGAAATAGATGGTTTAACAATCCAAGAAAAATATCCTTCATCCATAAATTCGGGTCTCTCTCTCCAATCACCTTCGTGAGCCACAATAAAACAACTTCCCATTGACTTTGCTGCCTTTACTGCTGAAACTGGGGGCATAAGGCTTATTAATTGACGGTATAAACTTCTACAAGAAATGTACATGCGGAAGAAAAACACAAGTATCCAAGAAATACTCAATGGTCTTATGCATATGCCACTTTCAGTTTCTGACTTTCCATAATCACATAATCTTCTCCCCGTAACAGAAAGAATGAACTCATCAACACTGCCAGATTGCCTTTGAACCAAATTAATGAAGCTTAACTCTACTGTCCCCATCAAATTTTTTATAGAGTTCCCAACTGAAATGCTATTGGTCGCGGTGATTGTTAACGAATCCAGCACATTTGAATATACCTCTGAAAGAAGTCTACCTAAAACTTCAGTTTGCATATCTAAATATGTTATGCTGACATTTAGAATATATGTTTCAGTAACATTTTCTCCATCAGACCCAAAGGGATTAAACTTTATCCACTGTAAGGAATCTTCCACGTCCACTTCTAGCTGCTGAACAAATCCGCTGGCTTGCCCTTCTGGTATTGACTTGATAGCATTAGAAATTGCAACTTGGAGCTCTTGTGAGCAAAGCAAAGTTCCCATTGATTTTATGTAAATATGTGAAGATAAAGAAGAAACGAACATAGAATAATCTGATGCATCAGCACAGGAAGGATTTTTTAAAAGCCTTGCAGCTTTACATAGTGCAAAAAGAGGAGAGTTCACCTACATGATTACACAGACAACGGTAAGAGAATAGGGCAAATTGAACTATAATTATAAAAGTGAAAACTTAGTCGAAGGAAAAACAATGGAAGAGAAATCAATTAGCAGAGAGAAGCAATCATCATGTCAATTTCTGTATTTTCATCTGGAAATGTCCTGGGAATCTTGCAGAAACCACACCTTAAAATAGTATAATTTTGCCAAAAGCATTTAGCAGATCCTGGATGATAGGATATTGCCATGTTAAGCACTTAGGTAACTTATTTGGCATTTGGTAAATGAATAAATTTTCTTAACTAGTTTGGTCACAAAGGAGCAGAAATGCTAATTATTTGAAATAAAGAATGCTGCAATGATTAAACAAATAACTGCTGTGAGAAAGATATACATTAAGCGTATATCCCTTTGGAAAACAAAGAATTACAATAGAAGGCTAACCTTTTCACTCAACATAATATAAAATTTGTATCTAAAAACCATCCAGTTTCTCATAAGAAAATATGGGTACCAACAGTCTCTTTAAAAGTGCAAAGTTTATCATAGACACTAGTCACTGGAAACTAAAAGCAGAAGTTAGGATCTCCAACATGTATGACTTTCAAAAATATGACAAATCATTAGAAAATGTTAGATTAGAGAGATGGGAACAAATTTCAAATGCAGTCAAGCGAGCGAGTATTTATTAGTCCTAAAGTCAATGACATGTTTTTCTCCATTATTTAGATCAATATAAGGTAAGTAGACCAACAAGAGGAAGCCACCTGCAAAGGGTATTTTGATGGTACAATTCTAAAAATGTACCTCTTTATGCTTCCAATCGTCCGTGGTAATCCTATATTAATGTAGTCAAAGTAATCATCCTACGCTATGATAAGCATCCCCTAATATGAGCACACAGTGATTGTGAATAACAACTTATGTTTAGATTTCATTACAGACATGAATTAAACAATGCACATATTTCATGTTTCCTAAAGGAAAACTTATGGAACTCAAGAAATCCAAATGTTCTTTATCCATCCATAAAATTACAATATGGGACAACGGAGCAATCCAAATTTATAATACAGAGTCTAACAGTCTAATTCAGTAAAATCCGACAAAATAAATTTATTAATATATAAAAAAAAGAACTTTTGAAAGTATACAATTGAAAAAGGGCTAAATTAATAGATTGGTATTTTAATTAGACCCTGATTACCAATACGACATTTTAAATAGGCATCTCTATGTTAAGGCATTTTATATGAGCCAAAGGTGCAAGAAGACCGAAATTTTCGTGGCAGATAATTTTCCGACAAGAAACTATTATTTGTTCTTGTAAATTTTCTCTACCTCTGACCTCTCAAAATTATTAAATCTATACCTGACCTATCATAATGTGGCACAAGAGAGTATGTGAAATTGACCCTTCAAAAAGCTATCTCTTTCCTATCCACACTCTATTTAGGATTTTGGGTGAGTTTGAGGGTTGAGATGGAGCCTTCAAAGGGAAGAATTAGAAAGTAAAAGGAGAGGGAGTTAGGGAGGAGAGGGTGAGAATGGTAGGGGTTGTTGATGATAATGGGTTATGGAAAGGAGGGTGAAGATGAAGAGTTGTTGATTGAGTGTGAATAGGAAAAAATGGATTTTTAAAGGGTTAATTTCGCACAAACCTCCTATCTTTAGATGTAAAATCAATAACTTTAAGAGATCACGAGGTAGAAAAAATATTTAAGCAAAAAATAATTCCTTGCCAAAAAGTTAGCCATCGAGAAAATTTGGGTCTTATTACACCTTTGACTGATTTAAAATGCCTTAATGTAGAGTTGTCTATTTAAAATGTCCTATAGGTAAAAGGGGTCTAATTAAAATATCAATTTGGTAATTTAGCCAGTGAAAAAATATCAAAAGAAAAACATGGTACTTCATGGATATTAATTGGACTATACGTTGCACGGGTACACGTGCGGGTGCTGACAATGTTTTCAAAGGCACACGTCTCACTGCGCCTCATGCGCCCTACGATGCGGGGCAATGACGAAGCGCCTCACTTCTGATGCAGCAGCGTCTTGTGCGCCTCGTGTACATCATTACTTTGTGCATGGTGCATGTAGTACATATCCTCATATAGTTTTGTTCGTTAACATTTCAATCGAGTCTTTATACTTGATATTCCATATTCCAAAAAGCAAAATAAATTCATTAGGCTTTTTTAGTAGCCTTCAATTGAGGACTATTACTAATCCTTTGGATATTAGTCTTGATTTAACATTTGATTTGAAATTTTATGAATTTTACTACTATGTGGGTGTTAGCATTAGAAATTAAGGCATAATAATATGATTTTGTAGTAAGATATTATTTATCATGATATTTTTCATGTGAATTCTAAAAACATGTTCTTTCGTGATTTTGTAGTAAGATATTATTTATCATGATATTTTTCATGTGAATTCTAAAAACATGTTCTTTCGCGCTTGATTATATATTTTATTTATCATGATATTTTTCATGTGAATTCTAAAAACATGTTCTTTCGCGCTTGATTATATATTTTGAAAAGCTAGTATAGTGCACGTGCGTTGCATGTGGACATATTTGTTTTATGTTCTAATACTTTACACAATTCATTATTTAATAAATGGAAGAGTTTCATTTTGAATGTAATTATAACAACATTTGAGGACTTATTTATAATTTTCTTACAATTTAGATCATATACTTCTTTCAATCTTCTTAAGATTTAAGTTTTGAACTATATAGGGGTTTATTTGTAAAAAATTATGAAGTTTCAGTATTTTTCTATAAATATATGAAGTTTTGAACTATATAGGGGTTTATTTGTAAAAAATTATGAAGTTTCAGTATTTTTCTATAAATATATGAAATTTCAATGGTCTTTGTAAAAATTAAGAAAATCCATGGTTGTTTGTGAAAAATTCAACGTTATTTTGTGAACATTGACAAATCTGGAATACCCAAAAGATATAATTTTTTAATATTAAAAGATAGTTCTATTTACTTTATAATTTAAGATAATGAATGACATTTAATAACTACTGGTAGTTTTATGTGCAAATTTAGAATATTGTTTTAACATTAGGGAGGTTATAATATACTTATTATATAAAAAAATTACTCAAAAGATAAAAATTCCAAGTTTGTTCTTTACTTTTATGTTAAGTGTGTCATGCTATTCCAGTTTATATTAATTATCTTTATTTTTGCTAATCCATTATAACAAAATAAAATTCTTACTTTCACCTTCTCTCTCTTCTATTATCATATAATTAGTAACATGATACAAAAAATATATCTACTAAGTTCATGGATAATACAATATTTCTCTCAAATCACAATTAAGTACATAGTAATAATTATAGAAATAGAAAAAAAGTTTATTAAAACCCCCCAAATTAGACCTCAAACTTTAGTCTCAATCCGAATTCTCCACATTTCCTTGTATCAATCGTATCCTCAATCTGCATATAGCCGTCAGTCTAACAATCACATCAGTATAAAGTATAATACGAATAAAGCTCAGCACTTCCTCAGCACAACTTCAATCATCTTCAAACCCCCCCTCCTTTGTCGTTATCTCTTCTGAAGAGATAATTCACTAGCAAGCTTGTATCATCCAAATAATATCATAGTAAAACCATGGGGTGAGTATAGGATGTTGTTAGGGTTGTAAGAGGTGAGTGTAAATCTAAATCATTAAATGAGTGAAATTATATAGGTTGCAAGTAAGGGCTATTATGATAAATAAAAAAAAGCAGGCTATTTGGATTCCGTAACAGTCAAATGTAATTGCCACTTAAATAAAAACTACAACTAAAAATGTAACTCTCATTTTAAGTATGCATGAATGCATGCACTAATGACATTTTAAGTTGACATTTTGTTTGCAAATTAAAACATACATTATTAGTTTGTCATATGTGCGTTTTAAGTGGAAGGGTTACAAAAAATAGAAGTTAATATTAGTGGACAATTAATAGAAGAGTTATGCCATTATTAAGAATGTATGCATGTATATGTATGTGTTTATATGTATGCAAGTATGTGTTTTATGGATGCATATATATGGTTTGGAGGGCATTTTTGGAAGAAATGTTTTAACATACCAACACACTTTTATAATAGTAAAATTATATGGACGGTGTGCATCTCGCATCACACGGGCGCGCGCATCGCGTTGCACCTTGCGCATGTGCGCGTAAAGATGTTTTGCGCCTCACGCATTGATAACACTGGGTGCGGATAAAGACACAAGTGCAGATACGGGACAAGGAAAATTCGTAAAAAGTAGGATACGGGGACATGGCTATATACACATTTTGAAATTAATAATTTATATGAATTCGATATAGTTTTTTCATTCACATGTTCTGAAAACTAAAATTCCTACAACATTTTTGTGTTTCTTCTATTAAGTAGATTATAAATTGAAAAACTGTTCATTTCTAAACTAGATACCCAAATGACCATTTAAAATCATACTAATGAGTTGGGTATAGGTTGAAACGAACATGGCCAAGTTCAATGAGTTGCAAAATTTTGGGTGAAGTGTTAGACATATGTCCAAGAAGTGTATCACTAGTGTTTTAAACATGTACTATATAATTCAGTATACATCTGAATTAATGTATGTAATATATAATTGAGTATACATCTGAATAAATATACTATATAAAACATGTACTATATAATTGAGTATACATCTGAATAAATGTATGTATATATTCAAGAAATGTCCAAGGAGTGTCAGATACAGATATGGAGGCCCATAGGAAGTGCCCAGGTAACCTAGATTAGATTCATAATTTTTAAATTTTCGTCTAAATTTTCTTTGATATTCATCCAACTTCTGCAACAATAGCAATGTATGTTTAATACAGGTTGAACAATCCATAGATTTAATGTACTTTGTTGCACTAAAAAGATGTATTAACTATTTAAAGAAGTCAATAGATAAGCAAAGATATACGATCAAAATCTTAACTGAAACATC